TTTTTTTTTTTTTTTTTTTTTTTTTTTTTTTTTTTTGCTTTAAAGAAAATAATAATTTCCCGCTCTTGCAAGACGAGAATGTTATCTTCTAACCCACATATCAACCCATATAAAACTTTATGATTGTGCTCGAAGTGAGTAAAGAAAAAAAAAAATAGAATATATGTGTATATAAGAAAGAGTCTCACGGGTATTTCAGCTTTGTTGTTAACGCAGCCGTTATGGTTTATTTAAGTATTGAAAACTTTTCTAATAAATTCAGAATCAATGAAGTTAAAATTTATAACCTCATTAATAGTTTAGTACAGTCTATACATATATATATATATATATATATATATGTATATATGTATATGCATGAATGTGGCACATAAACATATTCTCATATTTAATATGAACTGAGAATATATTCAAGTACTCGGCAGATTAACATATATGGTAAAGGTATGGTGAGAATAAATGGTTATACCATCTTGCCATGTTAGTCCTGCGAACTACGTAGACATCATTCACAAACTTTGAACTCAACAACTGACTTTTGAAGCTTTTCATTTTATTCATGCATAATAACCACAACAAACGTTTAGTTCTACTACCAACAACGACTAACGTACAAACTCATGCTCTTTAATGGGTTCTATTACACATGCAAATAACTTCACATAATAAACATTGGCTAAGTATATACAAACATATGTACACACATATATATACAATAAGTATAAATATTTATATATGAAAGAGAATGCAAAGGTGAGTGGAAAGCGACAACTCAAGTAAAATTGCGTTAATATTGTATTTATATTAAGACAAATCAAATTGCTGGACTTTATAAGCAGCGTACGGAATGACTTATAAAATTGTTTTTGTTATCAAAAACCTAAATCATTTCCCCGTACATCATAAGGCTAACTGTGTACATGACTAGGTATCAGAGAGAGAGAGAGAGAGAGAGAGAGTCTAAGAAATACTAAACCATGAACAGGTCAAGTGTTAGCTGACATTGAGAGAAGGAGAACATTTATTTGCCAATAATAATTACTATCCTCCATATAATGCTGTCGATACTTTTTGTGGCTATATTGCTATATATATATATATATATAACGTATCGTAAAGATTACAAATTAAATCTTATACTTTGTACGCTTATCATAACGTGTAGGGATGTTGCAAAAACGTAAACGAAAGAGAAAAAAAAAACACTAAAAAACTGTAAAATTTTTGTGTGTGTAAAAGTTATGGTTATAAAATCAAAGTTTTTGCAACTTTCAACTTTACCCTCAACAACAGCCAGTTTGATATATAAACTTTATTATATGCCTTAGGTAAAGCCAGGTACGTAGTAGTAGATATTTAAGAATGCATGTGTGTGCATAATGTCCTATATACACATATAAACGTATAAACAAGCATTTACTTGCACTTAATCGCACTACTTGCCTACACCCATACATATATATATATATATATATATATATAACATGTGACATGAAATGAGGCAGGGACAGAGATCCATCTCCAGCTCTCTCTCTCTCTCTCTGCTTATTTTGATGCCAAACAAACATTTTAAATATATCGACACTGTCGATACTCGACTGCCGGTTGATAGTGTGGAATGCGGCTAAAGGTTCAATTGAGCGCACGTTTGTGATAAACTCAACTTTATCCTCCTAACGAAATTGAATTTGTACAGAGACTACGTACATGTACATATTCACACACACACAACATATGTACGACACATACACTCACATGCGTACGTGCATATTTTTAACTTAAGTAACTATGTTCTCAGTTAAGTAAAATGTTCAAAACAAAAGAATAAAAATTATTGACAAAATTATTATG